TTCCAGGAAAGAACAGTTTAAAATTAATGTAATATAGTATTGGCCATACTATATGATGTATTGCTTGTCTTTGTTTAATAATACAGAAGACAAAGACCTTAAAAAATAATCGCATATCGCATCGCAATATTGGGGCAAAAAATCGCAATTAGATTATTTTCCATAATCGTTCAGCTCTACTTTAAATCAGAATCAGAATCAGAATGGGGTTTATTGCCAGATGTTGAGGTTTACAACATTAGGAAATTGCTGCGGTGCTTCAGTGCAAACAATAAGAATTAAGAGTGCTATGTAGAAAGATATATACATGAGTGCAGGTGGTGATCGGTGCCAAACATGAAATGATGCAGTGACACAGCGTAGGGTCATGTGTTAGTGGCAGGGACAGTCATGTGGTTATTGTTCATTAAAACAAGACTATATAGAAGTGTTGAGCTGTCTGCCTGTTCTGCTGAAAACTGCACAAATAATTCAGCGAACAAACATCAGTGCATGTCAGCTGACAACCGGGGCCGTCCATGCTCACACCAGATCTTTGAGGACAGTCCATTCAAATACTAAAAAACTGCTGATATGCTCGGCGTGAAATTCTATTAAAAATCACAGTGGGTGGCGATCACTGTAACTACACCAGGTGATTCAGAGTGAGGTGCTGAGAAGATGTTGGGACAATCTAAATCAGGGCTGCCCAATCCCAGTCCTCGAGAGCTACTATCCTGCAGCTTTTAGATGCATCTCTACTCCAACACAGCTGAATCACATGGTTTGATTACCTCTTCAGCATGCCATCGTGTTTGGCAAAGGCCTGATAACAACATTCATTTGATTCGGGTGTGTGGGAACAAGGATGCATCTAAAAGCTGCAGGACGGTAGCTCTCGAGGACCGGGATTGGGCAGCCCTGATCTAAATGATCTCAGTCATACTGTTCTGCATTATGTTGTTCTGTCAAGAGCTTCCCTCCCAGCTAACAGGTACAGACAGATCCATAACAGGCCGCTTTTAGGGCAAATGGAAAACATGGACAAGGCTTCCACGTCTGAAGAACGAACCATTAACTACTTAAACCCACATTTTTCCTCAAGGCTGGCAGGGCCGACTCCTCCAGCAGCGTAAAGCTTTGCTTGTACAAACAGCTTGACTAGACTAGTTAGCAGTTTCAAGTTTCATTGATGCATCACGATCTTCACGTAGTTCAAAAGTGTCTGTTAGTGTGAAACGGGACAATAACCTGACAGGCCGCTACAGTATGAGCGTGCAGCGCACTTTGGTTTCACGGGCAGATCCACCTCGCACTCTTCATATCTGGTTTCAAAAAAGCTGAGACGGCGATGGTAAAAACACTCAGATCGATGCTTCAAAACCGGAACCTCACAAATCAAACAGTGACTACATCCACCTTCAGTTTGTCAGGCACATCAGAGCTACTGACAGGAGGCATCGTTTAAGCCCAGGTCTGCTGCATGTGTGACATATATGTATATGCTGACTGTGTGCCCACACCACTGACACAGAGGCTGTTCAGTCAGTAAAGCTTTAGGACCTCACAAATCACTCGAGTTTCCTGGTCGGTTTATTTAATTCTTATTTATATTCTATCAGCGGAAATCCACTCCCATATTTGTGTGTTTGCTCAGCTCAAACATGTGGTGTCTTATTGTGTTTCCTTTAATCACGATCTGCTTTTTTAGAGCTCTGGAACTAAAACCTGCTGCTTTTATGTTTGTAAATATGTGAGGTGACAGTAAATCCCCGCAGCCTCTCTCAGGGTCTGAGTGCGGAGGGCTGCTTTCGTGGTGGTGATGTACAGCATACAGTAGGGTTGTGTTTACAGTGAGTGCCTGCAGCCGACTGCACAGATGTGAACCCGTCGATCTGGCCAAGTCAAAGACAGTCCCTCCATTCAGTAAGGGCCCAGGACACAGGGTGATCCATGAGACCTCCTCCGCGCGCGCGCGCGCACACACACACGCACACACACACACACACACACACAGTGCTTCATCACTTCAGAGGACGCTGAACACACACGCATCCATTTCCTGCACATCCAGCTCAACCTACCCGTGTTGTTAACCTAACCTTCAGCCAAAATCATCTCCAGTGCGGATTATTTACCTCATGGGGACTTCCTTTACATCCCCAAAGGGCGCGGAAGGTCCACACAGTGTGGCTGCCTAAACAGATTACTGTGACACACACACACACACACGACTCCAGTTTTGTGAACAGTTGACATGAAACATGACGTGACCATAGAAAACCTCAGAAATAATTCTGTCGTCACTTTGTGTCACTACATCCCAGCACAGCTGAGAGCCACGATTTAAACACCACCCAGTCATCCTTCATGCTAACCTCTGTTCACACTCACCCACGCTCAGTGGACATTATATTTATATTTATGTAAAATGTCATACACGCACGGGAAACGGGAGAGCAGCTAGCCGCTGTGAGTGAGGCTGTGCGCGGAGCGCGCTGATGCCGTTTGACCCGTCCGTCCGCCCGCTCACCGTCACGGTGCTCACGGCTCTGTGGACCGCCCGCTGTGACTCTCGTGTAATCCTCCAGCGGACACACAAACATGCAAACATGTACCCGCGCGCTCGCACATACACGGGCTACTTACGCCCTTGGTTTGGGGAAGCCCATGGACAGCAGCACGTCCAGGCTGGAGCTGCATTTCATCGAGCCCGCTCGGTTCTGCCGGAGCCTCCGAGGGAGGATTTTGCTGTAGAGGTCTTCCTTAGCAGCCATGTTCAACCGGCCTCAGCCCACTGCAGTCTGACTCAGTCCAGCACTTCACCTCCGGCTAGTCCACGAGCTTCAGCTGGGTCCGCATGAGTGAAGAGATCACGGCAACTGCACGGCAGAGAGCGCAGCGCTGCGCGGCCAGGCAGAGCCCGCTACTCCGCCCACTGGAGGAAGCAGCACAGCGCAGCTCACGCACCGACACCGGCGGCTTTACTAAAGCGTGAAACAGACACGAGCCGCTGTGAAAGCTGCCTTTATTGTGTGTAAAAATACACTTGGATTATACACAATTACGTGATCGTATGTAGGACAGCAGTGCGTCATGTGTCCACTGCTGCCCATTAAAGCAGAACAGCAGCGGGGCCGTCTGTGCTGGGCGGCACCGACAGGCTCCAGACACCGTTTCCTATAAAACGATTGTTTTGCACTGAAAACAACTCGGACACATTTTAATACCAGACACGAACTGTTGGTTCTTTCGTCAGTATCACTTTATTTCCCCTCATTATCATGAACACTTGGCGGTATTACAGTCGGACCTGCTGGAGCTCTGGCCACAGACTGTGAGGAACAAACATGGATATGTTAGGGCTTTGGAAATTATTTTTATTGCACTTCTGGCACATTTTGAATTCTATGAAACACAAAATTATTAAAATGCATAAATGCCATCTAAGCTTTGTTCTCCACTGTAGTGATTTTAGTCTTTGAAACGACACCGGAGCTCTTTCAGACACGTGCACTGTGCCACGGCCGTGAATTGGCCCCAACTGAGCCGACGTGTGGAGACGTGTGAGGTTAGTGTTGGCCACCGACAGCGCTGGCAGATGGGTTATATGGTGAGATGACACAGAACACACAGCCTGCCTCCTGGAAAGCTCGCCTCATCTCCACCTAGCGGGCCAAACACAGACTGCATCAGAGGGAGAGAGAGGGCTCCACATACACAACTTCAACAGGCCCCAGCGACACCAGTGACCTAAGATGCTCCTCAGTCTCCCACCAGAGGAGGAGGCTGGGGGCCGGGTGAGAAACATACAGTCACTGTACAAATGACGTGTTACATTTGGGATTTTCCAAAAGCCCATAACTAGTTGTACACACACTGCCATGCAGGGTAACAATCCCCCCACCCCTGCTGTTCATTAACAACTGATCGAATAAGCTGTCACAGAAACCAGACAGTATTATTTGCTGTCATTTTATAATTAGTCCTGTTGCTGTCTGTTTGTGTAGGTCTTTCTTGCTGCTGTTACGTCCAAATTTCCCCTTGTGGGACACTTAAAGGATTATTTTATTCTATTCAGACTGGTCACTGGTCACCATGTGGAATGAAAGGATGGAAATGAAAATCACCCGTCTGCAGACTGAATAAAGAAACTCTGAAAATCACAGTGAAAAAACGATGCTGAGACCAGTTTGTTTTACTGAAATGCAGCAACTCCGAATGACGCGCAGCAGTTTGTGTGACCTCCGTGTGCTTGTCTGCACGCCTGACCCTGGAGGAGCTCCTCCCACATCTGGGATCTCTGGGTTGTCGTCTTAGGGATAATACTGGTTTGCTGCCAGTGTCTCAGCCTCCCAGTAGATGCACTGATAAATCTTATGGTGTTTTTCAGAAACACTGACTTCCGACCTTGAGGTCAAGGTCACTGGCAGAAGCCGATATGATCAGAGAGCACAAACATGCTGCGGCTGTGTTACTCAGTGACAGACTCACACTCATGTCTGCAAGTTTATTTTGTTAAACACAACGACAGCAGCAGTGCTGCCACGTGTGCACAGAGAGCACCAGTGCGTGTGTTTGTTCAATGAAAGGCTTCAGTTACAGTGCAATACAATATTTGAAATGTAAACAAACTAACAGTACAGAAATCTGTGTTTGTTTGTTTTGAGCTCAGCTGTAGATGGATAGTTTCTAAATATTTGGAAAAATCATGTAAAACAGTCTTTCTACACGATTTAGTTGGAAACAGAAGAAAAGAGTGGGGAAGGTTTCAGCAAATCAAACCTCACATCCACCCGACACTGAGTCCACTAAGACGATACACATGATCTACTGAGACACATCAGAGACTCGTGGCTCTAACTGCAGCTCATTCTCTGATCCATCGATAAACTGAGGTTTCCCATTTGCCTCCAACCTTTGAGCAAATCTATTTTAAAGGTGCACTTCACCTTACAGTCAGTATTTTTTGCTCAGGTAAAAAAATCCCTCCATAGTTTTGGTGGAGTCGCCTCAGCAGTCACAGAGCTCCACATGTGCAACAAGAACGACATGTAGCTCTGGCTTTGTGTTTGCTAGTTAGCGAGTTAGCGCTCCACTGGAGCCAAAGCCACCAATTTTCTGTGCAGCGAGTTAAATAATCAAGACGATGAAATACCGAGATCAACACAAAGCTCCAGGCCAGAGTTATTATCGGTGGGCACTACCATCACATTTAGTTTTACATTTCTGGGTTAAACTGAGATTCGTTTTGGTTATATTGAGGTTAATAATGTAATAATAATAATGTATATTTTATTGATCCGTGGGGAAATTCCCGTTCACTCAAGCAGTGGGCAGCCATTGGGTGCCGGGGAGCAGTGTGTAGGGACGGTACCTTTGCTCAGGGGTACCTCAGCGTAGCTGTTCAGGGGAATCGAACACTGACCTTCCGATCATGGGGCCACCACTGAGCTATCCCTGCCTGGTTCAACTGTTTACCGATGTTAGTTTGAGTTTTTGTTATTTACCAGCGAGGCATTTGTCACATGTAAGATTTAAGAGGTTCCTACAGAGACCTCCACACAGCGCACTCTTACCAGCCTCGCCTGGTCCAGGCACAGACCCACCACCGCCCCCCCACTGCCGGGTAACTTCACTGCCGATCCAAACTGCAAGAACCAGCGCAGACTTTAAGAACGCACGGACACAGAAACACAGCCTGATGCAGCGCGGTCTTTAAACACCACCCACCTGCCTCGCCAGCTCAACCATCTTGAGATTCCCGGGGCCGAGACAGTCATCGGTGTAAATAGACCTGTGGGATAGAGGGCTAACGTTAGCTCTGAATACAGCGAGTGCAGAATGCATGCCTCAAATCAAAACGCGTCGTTTACCGGCGCAGCTCAAAGTTCTGGTCCATCAGTTGAACCAGGCGGCTCCAGTCCTTGTCCCGGAAAGCCATCCTGAGGGAGGAAGTCACGTGACACCAAACTTTATATTAAAACGCTGTGAATGCCACAAGCTGGCACGGGTACATTTGTGCCGGCAGCGGTGGAGGAAATAAATCCTCAACACGTGGCACCGCCAGACCATGAACCTCCACAGCTAACACACTGAGGAGTGGTCGGATCACCATGGCAACCGCTCTGACCCCTGCATGTGCTGGTTTTCATCTTTGTGTTCGTAGCCAAATACTCACAGCATGAAGCAAAGGCAAGAGAAAGAGTGTGTGTCTGTGTGTGTGTCTGTGTGTGTCTGTGTGTGTGTGT